TTCAGAATGACCAGACCCTGGGAGACCCAGAGTGAGGCCTGTTAGATACTCCTCTGGCTTGCTCAGCTCCCAAACCCTCAGCTGCTAGTGAGTCCAGAGATGTAAACAGCAAGCTTACTGTAGCCCCTGTCTTCTTCAGATAGGGACTGTGACTTCTCTGTACTAATTTTTCACGAGCTTTGAGAGCACCATGCCTATCACCAGGGCAGGAGCTAAGGAGAGACAAATGAAGGGTGCAAAATTTAAGCAGGTGCTCATTTTTGGGGTCAAGCAAGTGCCCTGGGTGCCTTCTCCCCTTTTTTAAAAAAAAAATATTTATATGGCTGCACCAGATCTTAGTTGCAGCATGCAGGATACAGTTCCCTGTTGTTGTTTAGTTGCTAAGTCGTGTCCAACTCTTTTTGACCCTATGGACCATAGCCCGCCAGGCTCTTCTGTCCATGGGATTTTCCAGGCAAGAATACTGGAGTGGGTTGCCATTTCTCTCTCAAGGGGATTTTCCCAACCTAGGGATCAAACCTGTGTCTTCTGCTTGGCATGTGGTTTCTTTACCACTGAGCCACATGGGAAGCCCACATTTAAGGCTGAGATGTGAGGCATGCAGAATCTTAGTTCCCTGAACAGGGATCAAACCTGTTCTCCCTGCATTGGGAGCTCACTAGACCACTAGGGAAGTCCCTCCTTTGCCTCACCTTGATCCAGCCCAGCTGGTCACTACAAAGAGGCTAAATTTGAAGCAGTTATTAAGCATCTACTGTGTGCAAGGCCTCACCCTAGGTCTCATGGTGGTGACACAGCTCATTTTCCATCATGCCTGAGCCACACTCTTGGGCAGTCACACTAGCCACAGGCAACTTGAGACTAATATTAAAATACCATGCAAGTTAACTGCTGCTGCTGGGGGATAAGACAAATGCATCTCAGTGAAGTTGCAAGTTTTCACAGCCAAGGCATCCTAAATCGGCTGACAACCAGCCAGCCTACCCCTAGACTTAAGAGACAGCATAGTCAAAGTCAGCAGAGTCATTAATCCAATACACATTCAATCACAAAATCTAAGTGAGCCCAGCAAAGATCTGAAGTGTCAGGTGACCTGCAAATTCATGAGCTAAATAAATGCCTACTGTTTTAAACTCTGAGTCTCGGGTTGGGTTTGTTATACACCGTTATTGAGGCAATAGATAACTGATACAGAAATTGGCCAGACCAAACCAACACAATAATGTGAAGCAACTATCCTTTGATTAAAAATAAATAAATTAAAAAAAAAAATTCCTCAGACCAGAGTTGCATGTGACTAAGCAGGCACAGAACTGGGCAGTGCCAAAAGCTCTGACCTAAGTACTTACAGACTGAGGCCTGGGCTCTCTTCTTTCCTTTTGTTGCTACTCCTCCGGCTTGTACAGCCCCCAAACCCTCAGTCGCTCTTGACTACTGTGGTCAGAGACATTTTTACCTTGACGTAGCTCACGTGAAAAATCACGTGCAAAGGCCTCAGACGGAATGGCAGCCTGGGACCTGCTTTTATCCACAATGTTCCCAGGTCAGCTTGGTTCTATAATTTTTTTTTGGCTATGCCACAGGACATGTGGGATCGTAATTTCCCAACCAGGGATCGAATTCACGGCCCCTGGGTTGGAAGCTCATAAGCCTTAACCACTGGGCTGCCAGGGAAGTCCCAATCCTATTGTTTTGACTCTTCAGATCCAGCCAGAGTCTCTTGGACATCCCTTGACAGTGAGGCCTGCCCAAGAGTCCATCTGGGCACACAAGCTCATTAAAGGGCTTTGTGATATTGTCACATTATCTTCATTTCACAGATGAGCAAACAAGGCTCTGAGGTGGGAGGAAGCTTATTTGTGATTAAATGGGAAATAGATGGGGAAACAGTGGAAACAGTGTCAGATTTTTGGGGGCTCCAAAATCACTGCAGATGGTGATTGCAGCCATGAAATTAAAAGATGCTTACTCCTTGGAAGGAAAGTTATGACCAACCTTGCTGTTGCCATAGGGTGCAGTAGCAGTCAGTTGGAAAGACTCAAGAAAATAATAGAGCCATATGATGATAAAATGACCTGATGTACCAGTGAGATGTTTTTCTTTCCAAAAAGAAAGAACTATATTGGAAATTTCTCCAAGTCACTGTGTTAAGAAAGACATGTTTCAAAGCCCCACCAAAAATAGGCAAGTAAGTGGGAAGAGAGTTGAGGACTAATCAAAGGCAGCAGAGAGAACATGAAAAATTAAATTTTTTACAAGTTTAATCTGGAGCCATTCTGTCAAACTAGAGGTCACAGATAAGAAAATTTATATTGTAGTTGTTGTTGAGTGTGTTTGGGATGTTGCTTCTTTGGGTGCATCAGTTTGTTGCCTGGCAAGTCATAAACTTGTTGCTTAGTTGCTCAGTCGTCTGACTCTTGCCGCTTCACAGACTGTAGCCCGCCAGGCTCCTCTGTCTATGGAATTCTCCAAGAAAGAATACTGGAGTGGGTTGCCATTTTTTTCTCCAGGGGCACAATTTTTAATCCATTAGGCTTTTTTGTGTAATATGTTTATCTCCCTGTACTTCTGTGACCTGGGGAAAGAGGATGGGAGCTCAGCTCACATGCCAGGAACTTCTGTCAGGGCTTTATAGGAATTAAGCCATTTATTCCTCTCTATAATTTTTAATGTCAGTACTATTATTACCCATCTCCCTTTTCATTTTTATAAACTGGTATGTATATGGTGGTGGTTTAGTCACTAAGTTGTGTCCGACTCTTTATGACCCTATGGACTGTAGCCTGCCAGGCTCCTCTGTCCATGGGATTTCCCAGGCAAGAATACTGGAGTGGGTTGCCATTTCCTTCTCCAGGTGTGTGTCTGTGTGTGTGTGTGTGTGTATAACAAAATTTGTCATTTCAGCCATCTTTAAGTGTACAATTCAGTGGTATTATATTTGCAATGTTGTACAACCATTACCACTATCTATTTCCAATTTTTTTTCATTGCCCCAATCAGAAATTCTGGACCCATTAAATAATAATTTTCCATTATTTCCCCCCTCTATATCACCATATTTGTGACAAGGAAAATGGAGGCACATAGAGGCCAAGTGAAATAATCATTACACAGCTAGTTGGGCACAGACCTGGTGGCCTTCTGAATCACTAGTCTTGCAGGGGTTTTTTTTGGTTTGTTTTTTAAGCCCTAAGTTTCTGGTTACAGGTTCTGGTAAGTTATTTCTTTCCGCTCTTTCCCCCCAAAGAGAGAAGAAATAGCTTTTCTAAAGAATCTTGAATTTTACTCCTAACTTTCTAAACCAAGTTTCCTTCATGAGAACTTTGAAGTTGTATCTGTATCTGCTTGAGTGCTAAGGGCAGGATTCAACTACACCAAAGGGACCAGTCTGCCTTGCCCTGTGGGGTCTAGTGAGAGTTGGAGGGCTGCAGGCAGTTTCCACTTTCTAGAACCACCAAATTCTCCCCTATAAGATCCTTAATTCTAAGATCCCTGAGGACACTCCTCAAAAAAAGAGATTCTGTTCAGCCACCAGAGCGGAGGAGTGGGATTCTTTCTTCTTCCTCTCTTAAAGGAATGGCACTGAGAGGAATACGGTCTTTGGAGCTGCATGAGCCTAGACCCGAACCCCAGCTTTGGACAAGTTCTCCCAAATTTGTTTGCCAAACTGAAAATGTGTAAATACCACCACCTACCTGTAAGAGTTGTTAGGAAAAGAAATGGCAGCCTAACACAGACAGGACCTCAATGAATGTTAGTCAAACCGTGGCAACTTAATGCCTGCTCCTTGTTCAATTCAAACCTTTACACCCTCTTGGGGACCAACCATATTGTCTAGAGCTGCTGCTTCTCTGCTGGCTTGGAAACTCAGGTTCAGGAACTCTCTCTAAACCCTGATGTTTCCCAAGGGCTGGCTGTGACAATGTTTGCACTTTTTTTTTTGTTTGGACATGCCCTGTGCCATGGGACATCCTTGTTCCTGACCAGGGATCGAACCAGCGCCCCCTGCATTGGAAGCACAGAGTCTTAAGCACTGGCTTGCCAGGGAAGTCCCCGCATGACTCTTCTTTAGAAGCATTCCAGCTCCACCACTTAATTGGCTATGCAATCTGGGGTAGTTTTATCTATCTCTGCCTCAGTTCCCTTATTTGAAAAGTAGAGAACTGGGCTCCCCACATCATTGAATTGTTGGATTAAATAGATTAAGATACGTAATGCACTAATTGTCTCACATACAGTAGAAGCATCTGCTATTATTGTCATCTCCAGTGTCACCTTGTTTCTTCACCAAATGTTGCCTTACACCTGGGGAAATGGAAATGGTACAGGTAAAAGCAACCCAATGGTCTTGGCATTCTATTATTTTCCTTGTAGTGGTATTGAGTAAATGAGGTAGGCTTCCTTCCAGTGAGCCGGCAGCATTAGAACAGACCCTCTCCCTTCATGTTCTTCAATTGTCATCAGGCTAGGCTCCCTGACTCCCAATTCATCCTTTCTGTCCCTCAATAAAACCCACTCTAATTGGGCAATTAACCTTTCTCTAAATTAAAGGCTGGGCAGGTAGTGATGGCAGGCTGTGATGGATAGTAGCTGTGGAGCTGCTGCTCTGGGCAGGCAGCCCTGGGGCCTCCTGAGGGCTCCATTCCTAAGAATTTTCCAAGATCCTCCTGGGCTACTCTAACCACTAGATGAACAAGCTACAGGGTGATTATTTCCTTAGGCAAGCAAACACTTTAGCCCTTTAATATGGTATTTCCTGAGGCTGGAATAGTAACAGGAAGTCCTGTGGGGAAGAGTTCTGCCAAAACACTCATTCTGAGGAAGGGATCAGTAAACTGACAAATCTGCCCAGCCCTGTACAACATCCTGCAACCCCCACACGTGGAACCCAGGGCAGGTCTCAACCCACAGGCAGCTCACTGCCATCACTATTCTTCTGTGGGTTCCTGAATTCAGGGAGACCTATAGATGAGACTCTATGTGACAAACCCAGACAAAAATTTGCACTTAAAAAGCAGGTAGGTCATTTATTGGCATTAGGAGAGCATTCCTTTAAACAAGAGAAAGAACCTTGAACACTAAAATCTTATCCATTTTATGAAAACTTGAGACCAACCTCTACAACATCTATATAGTTTAATCAGGAACAAGAGCAAGGATTCGAGTTAAATAAATTAAACCACACTTCCTGTTACAAAGAAACGAAAGGAAAGCTGGGGGCGAGGGTAGGCCCTCCCCCATCCCAAGTCCTTGCATTCACACCGCAATGTTTCAGGTACAAGAACATAACAATTCCCCAGTGCAGCACAAAACCGCTTCCTATTGTTTCTTACGGCAGTCACTGAATTACCAATTGTCCAAGAGCTAAGAAAATTTCGTGGAAAAGGGCGTACCCTTTGGCTCCGCGCGTGGCCTGTAGCTGAGGAGGCAAGTTCTTAAGAACCGACGACTGGCTGATACACTCTTGCGGAGACGCGCCTTCACAGAATCTGAAGCTTGTGTCTCAGCTTCCCTATCTACAAAATGCAGTCCTGGCGAGGGGACATCCGCTAGGCGTCCAAATCGAAGTCGTCACGCTCCTCATTGTACTCCAGCACGTGCCGCTTGATCTTGGACGAGTCAACCCAGGTGACAAAGTCCTCCATGCTTCGCGTGACAAGGAAGGCGGGGTCTGTGACCACGTCGGGGCCCACGCGCACGTGGCCCTGCTCCACGAATGCCACAGCGGCCTGGAGGTGCTGAGCCATGCGCAGCTTAAGCAGCACCGTGGGCAGGCGGCGGCGGCAAAAGGACGAGGCCGTGACGAAATCGCAGAGCTCCAGCGACCCCCGCGTGGGCACTAGGCCGAGCGCATACAGCTTATCCAGCAGCGCGGCCGAGGAGCGCACGCGAAACGGGTCACGCTCCGGCAGATCGCGCAGGCGCCGGGCCAGCTCGCGCACAGCACGGCTCAGCTGGTTGTAGCGCGTATAGTCCTCGCGCCGCTGCAGCCGATAACGCCGCAACACGCGTAGCTCATGCAGGTTGTGGTCTGTGACCTCCCAGTTCAGGAAGTCCACCTGCTTCAGCAGCTTCTGCTCGTGAAACTTAAGCTTCCGCACCATGATGGCGGCTCAAACGCTGCCGGTCCGGAGGCTCCGCGCGCATTCAGGCTGCCGCGCGGCTTCCTCCTCGCCTTGGGGATCCTGCGCCAATGAAAGGAAGACTCAGGGCCAGGCCTCCCATTTCCATTGGTCAGGATGAGGCCACGCCCCGTGTTCGTATCTCGCGTTTCTTCTCCGCGTTTTCTGAGGGAGGCGGAGGGAAGAAACGCCCGGAAAGGCCGTTGGTGGGAGAGGCGGCCTCCGAGGCGAGTCTGCGAGGTTTTAAGTTGCTGAGAATTAATTACCTAGTGCTGTAATTATTTCCTCTTGTTCAGGTTTCTGTCATTCAGGGCCTCTCTGGAGAGCTTCCAGAAGAGCCAAAGAGGATAGCTCCTTGAAAGAGGGGTGACCGCCGCGCTAATATGGATTTACTGTGCTAACTGTGGCTGGGGGCGGGGGGCTGTCCTCCCACCGTGTGGGGGCTTCTTGGAGCCGACAGGGGCTGATCGAGTATCCCCCACAGCCTACTAACCGCAAATCCATTACGAGGCGGGCGGAGCTTTTTCACCCTACCAATTGGGGCTTGAATTCAGTACTGATTCCCAGGCTACTTCCTGCACACCCAGAATCAGGATCTACACTGGAGTCACTTGGAAATCTGTATTGTTAACAAGAATGCCAGGTGATTCATAAAATCCACTAAATTTGAAAAACTTGGATAGTACAAATCCTTACTCTTTAATCCGGGCTGAAAAGAATTAGCCTGGCAGGTTGGATTTCTGGAGTATTTAGTGAACAGACAACACTTTTTCTGCAAATTGTATCTGTTTTAGTTTAGTGTAGCGCTACAGGAGTAACTTCTTTATTTACCCAAGACTTTGACGCCACCTAGCTTCTTTGCCTATAATTTTATTTTTGTACGCTTTTCATTGTTTTTTTTAAAGATACAATATTTTATACGGGCGATACTATTTGTAACATGTGAGATACAAAGAATACTTGTGGACCCAACAGCCAGTTTAAGAAAGCATCACCAGGACCTATTCAACCACTGTCCCAGTCAGAGGTAAAGATATCCGTTGTCCTGAATTTAGTGTTTATCTTTGCCTTTTGTTTGAAAAGAAAAATAGTTTTATCATTTTATGCATCCCTAAGTATATTGAGAATTTTCTTACTTGAAGCATAGCCCATGGATCAGCAGAGAGCTGTTGAAAATGCAGAATTTCAGACCCCATTCCGAACTTACAGAATCAGAATCTGCATTTAACCAGATCCCCAGGTAATTTGCATGCATGATATTGGAGGAGTGTTGCTTAGATGATATCACATATGGAATTTTTTATATATAGCTGCAGTTGCTTTTTAAAAAACTGCTGCATTATATTCCATTGTTTTGTTGTCGTTCACTTGCTCAGTTGTGTCCGACTCTTTGCGACCCCACGGACTGCAGCACGCCAGGCTTCCCTTTCCTTCACTATCTCCTTGAGTTTGCTTAAACTTATGTCCATTGAGTTGATGATGCCATCCAGTCATCTCATCCTCTATTGTTCCCTTCTCCTGCCTTCAATCTTTCCTAGTATCAGCATCTTTCCCAATGNACCCCATGGACTGCAGCCTACCAGGCTCCTCCGTCCATGGGATTTTCCAGGCAAGAGTGCTGGAGTGGGATGCTGTTGCCTTCTCTGGCTCAGCTTTACTAGCTGTTGTCAAATTGTTTTCCAAAGGGGCTGTACCAATTTATATTCCTTTGTCACTACATGAGAGTTCCCTTTGCTCCTCATTCTTGACAGTGCTTGGTTGGTAGACTTTTTAAATATTTGTGAATCTGATGAGTGTGTGATGGTATTTCACTATGATTTTAATTTGCATTTCCTGATGAATAAAGGTTTCATATATGTTTCTTCCTCTGTGGAATGCCTCTTTGTGTATTTTTCTGTTGGTTTGTGGGGTAGGTAGAATAGTGACCCCTCCACCCCCCAAGATGTCCACCCAGAGCCTGTGAATGTTACCTTATATGAGAAAAGGGATCTTGCAGATGTGATTAAGGATTTTGAGTCAGTGACATTGTCCTGGATTAACTGAGTTAGTCTCATTAATCACAAGTGTCCTTAGAATTGAAGAGGGAGGCAGAAGAGTCGGGGATATATGATGATGCATGCAGAAGTCTCAGGTGTGATTTCTGGCTTTGAGGATGTTTGGGAGTCAGGAGCAGAGGAGTGTGGGCAACCTCTAGAAGTGGGAAGAAGCAAAGAAAAGGTTTTTTTATTTAGAGTCTTCAGGAGGAACATGGCCCTTGCTGACACCTTGATTTGAGCCCAGTGAGATCCAGTTTGGTTTTCTGGTCTCAAATACAGTGAAAGAATAAATCTGTGTTGTTGTAAGCCACTAAGTTTGTGGTAATTTGTTGCAGCTGCAATAGGAAACATACAGATTGTTTGCTTTCTTTCTACTTTATTTGAAGGTGTGCTTTGTGTATTCTGGATAGTAATCCTTAACCAGTTATCTGTGGTGTGCAAGTATCTTTTCCCAGTTTGCACTTCATCCCCACCCTTCATATTCCCCCAGCCCCACTCCCTTCCATCTTCAGCCTTTGTTTGGTGTGTGTGGGAGGACTCTTGGTTAACTCCCTTCTCCGCAGACAATAAACATAATAAATAAGTAAATTATATTTGTTAGCAGGTGATAAGTGTCATGAAACAAAACTGAGCCAGATAGAGCTTGGGGTGAGGATGGGCTGTAATTTTAAACAGGGCATGTCAAGGTAGGTCTTACTGAGAAGGTAATATTTCATGGTGGGTTAGCCATGTGGATATCTAGAGGAAGAGGAAGCAGTGAGTGCAAATGCCTTAAGATGGAAATGTGCCTGGCATCTCAGAAGAGGAATAACAAAGCCATCTTGGCTGGAGCAGAGTGGGTCAGTAGGTGAGGAAAGGGGGCTCAGATAACAGAGGCTCCACAGGCTCTCTTAAGGTCTTTGGTTTTTAGGTTGAGTGAGATGAGGACACTGGAGGGTTTTGAACTGAGAACTAGCATCTAACTTATGTTTTAAAAGAACCACTCTGACTGCTGTGTTGAGAACAGACTGTCAGGAGGCAGAGGTGGAAACATAGAGGCCATTAGGAAGTTGTGGTGATGTAGGTGAGAAGGGTGGTAGCTGGGACCAGGAAAGCAGTTGTGAGATGCCAGTGAGAGAGGAGTTCCAGAATAAGGAGAAAGGGCAAAGGATGGCTCCAGTTTGGGACCTAAGCAAGTGGCAGAAAGTACTTACTGCTTGAGATGGGGGAAATTGCCAAACAGAACAGATTTGGGTGGCAAGATCAGAAATTCAGCTTTGAACATGTTGAGTTGGAGATGTCTACTAGACATGCAAAGGGAGATGGCAAGGAGAACGACATGTAAGTCGAGTGTTTCATTTTTTATTTTTGTTTTTTGCCAAACCTCGAGGCATGTAGGATCTTAGTTCCCCAACCAGGGATAGAACTTATGCCCCCTGCAGTGGAAGCATCAAGTCCTAACCACTGGACCACCAGGGAGTTCCCTCAGTTTGGTATCAGCCCAGAAAAAGGCCTGGGCTGAAGATTTAAAATTTGGGATATTATTGGCAGAAAGATGGTGTTTGAAGTCATGAGTCTGGGTGAAATTGTCAAAGAAGTGAAAATAGAAAAAGACAAGAGGACCACGCTACTAGTGGGCACTCTGGTGTCAAGAATTATTGACTTTTTGTCCCTTTCCGGCATTCAAGATGTCGAAGCAAGGTGCGAAATTCTGGATTTCCTTGGGTCTTCCAATTGGAACCATGATCAACTGTGCTGACAACACAGGAGCCAAAAATCTGTATATCATCTTTGTGAAGGCAATCAATGAATGACTGAACAGACTTCCTGCTGCTGGTGTGGGTGACATGGTGATGGCCACAATCAAGAAAGGCAAATCAGAGCTGAGAAAGAACGTACATCCAGTGATGGTAATTTGACAATGAAACTCACACTGGAGAAAAGATGGTGTGTTTCTTTATTTTGAAGATAATGCAGGGGTCAGAGTAAACAATCCCTGGAGGAGGAAATGGCATTCCACTCCAGTATCCTATCCGTGTACGGACAGAGGAGCTTGGCAGGCTACAGTTCATGCGGTCACAAATAGTCTGACACGACTGAGCAATTGAGCACATAGTAAACAGTAAAGACAAGATGAAAGGTTCTGCTGTTACAGGATCAGTTGCAAAGGAGTGTGCAGACCTATGGCCCAGGATTGCATCCAGTGCTGGCACCATTGCATGCTTCTTCGATGTATTTGTAAAAAAGATGTAAAATAAAAATTATTCCCCCCCCAAAAAAAACACAACAGAATTATTGGAGAGAAGTGGATGAACCAGTGTGGTAGAAGGGAAACCAGGAGAGTATGGCTGGCCAGTGCAAACGAAGAAAGTGTATCCAGGGGGAAGAAGTGATCAACCTGGTCAAATGCTACAGAGAGCCTAAGTACAAGAGAAGGGCTGAGAATAACCTTTAGGTCATTGATGACTGATAAGAAGAGTTTCAGTGGAGTGTGAGATTGAAAGAATGGCTAGAGGGGTTTAAGAAGAGAAAGGGAGGAAAAATGTTGCAAACAGCTGTTAGAGATGGCTGTTTTGAGGACTTTGCTGCAAAGGTGAGCAGATAAAGGGACTTGCTAGATGGTCCAGTAGTTAAGAATCTGCCTTACAATGCAGGGGGCACGAATTTGATCCCTGGTTAGGGAACTAAGATCTTACGTGCCCAGGGCAACTAAGGCCTCAAGCAGCAACTTCAGAGCCCTTGTGCTCTGGAGCCCATAACATGCCATAACAAAGATCCTGCATGCCACAAGTAAGACCTGATGCAGCCAAAAAAAAAAAAAAAAAAAAGCAGAGGTGGGATGTGGGGGGGGAAGTGGAGTCAAGAATCTATTTTTTAAAGGTGTGGATTGACTCTTCCCTCAATATCAACATATTGTTGGTTGTCATTCCAGTCTGTTCTACCCCCATAAAATCCCAAATCTACTTCTCCCCAGACCATTATCTCAGGCCTTCCATCATCTCTTGAATGCATTTCTGTAGTAAAAGTCCAGTGTGTCTACCATGCTAGCCACCAGCAGAATCAGCCTGGAAACCACTGGCCATTGTTCTCCCTTGCTGATTCCTTTCCTAAAGGAGGAAAGCTGGGATGGGAGATGGATGCTGTTTCCTGTGTCTGAGTCAGGGTTGCAGCAGGAAAGAGAGAACACACTCCAATTAGAATAACACAAGGAGAATTTAATAAAAATTTTCCCAAAGGAATGGGCAGAGTGTGGGGAAACCACAAAGGTTAGTGCAGTTGCCTGAGAGTGGTAACTGTGGGTCCTGTTACCCATAGGTTTGAAGAGAGTTGGGAATAGAAGATATAGGTTCTGGAAATCTTGGTGAAGCTTAAGAGTGAGTTTTCCTCAAGAACCTGAAAATAGGGTGGCTACTGTGAGACAGAAACCACCACCTCCCTCAACAATACGGAAATAAATCCAAGGTGTAAATGTGTATAAATATGTGACTTGGGCTTCCCTGGTGGCTCAGTGGTAAAGAATCCACCTGCCAATGCAGGAGTTATGGGTTTGATCCCTAAGCTGGGAAGATCTCACAGGCCATGGTGCAACTAAGCCCGTGTGCCTCAGCTATTAAGCCTGTGCTCTAGAGCTGGTACTCCACAAGAGAGGCCACTGCAACCACTCTAGAAGCTTGTGCACCACAACCAGAGAGTAGCCCCACTAGCTGCAACTAGAGAAAGCCTGCGTGCAGCAACAAAGACCTAGCACAACCAAAATAAATAAATAAAATTATAAATATGTGACTGAAGCGTTTGGGAACCAACTAAATACCATCAAGGTGGTGGCTGTGGGTCCCTCTGAGGGGTGGGGTTAGACTAGGGGTTAGGCTGAGCACCGAAGAACTGATACTTTCAAACTGCGGTGTTGGAGAAGATTCTTGAGAGTCCCTTGGACAGCGAGGAGATGAAACCAGTCAATCCTATAGGAAATTAATCCTGAATATTCACTGGAAGGACTGATACTGAAGCTCCAATGCTTTGGCCACCTGATGCGAAGAACCAACTCATTGGAAAAGACCCTGATGCTGGGAAAGCTTGAGGGCAGGAGGAGAAGGGAGTGACAGAGGATGAGATGGTTGGGTGGCTTCATCAACTCAATGGACATGAGTTTGAGCAAATGCTGGGAGACAGTGAAAGACAGGGAAGCCTGGCATGCTGCAGTACATGGGGTCACAGAGTTGGACACAACTGAGTGACTGAACAGCAACTAGTAGGGTGAGTAGAAATCCCATTGATTTTACTAAGTGAGTTAATAAAGGTAGAACATTTACAACAGTCTAGCACTCAACAAGCACTAAGGGAGTAGCTGCTTCTGTTAAACCAAGCTTGGAGAGAGATTCTGCAAACAGAAGAGAGATCACAGAAAAGGGGTGTCCCAAAAGCAGCTGTAGGAAACATATTCAGGCTCTGGTCCTGGTGATCCTAGGCTGAACTGAGTCCTTAGAATCAAGGCTGCACCTGTGGTTGAGGGGACCAGACCTCAAGGTTTCTTGGCCGAGAGAACCATTGGTTCCTCCTATCCTGGGGCACTCAGTTTCACTGAACCAAACTTCTGGTAACTGGTCTTCCCAGGGAGCAGCTCAAATTGCCTTGATCTATTGATGCATAAATTCAGGTGTGCCTGGACAGTTGAATTTCTTTTTGCAAAGTAATACCTGGACTTCTGGGGTTTACACATAAACCTTTATTCTGGTCAAATGCCAGCTCTGCGTGGGGCATTGGATCTACTCACTGAACCAGTGAAATTGGCTTTTGGAGCCAGAAACCTGCAAATTACACCCTTCAAAACAACCCAAGGTGGGGAATTCCCTGGCAGTTTAGGGGTTAGGGCTCTGTGCTTCTACTGCAGGGGGCATGGGTTCTATTCCTAGTTGGGGAACTAAGATGCTGCATGCTAAGCCGCTAAAAGAAAAAAACTAAAACAACAGCCCAAGGTGCCCACGTTTACAGCAACATCTTGTGCCAGTTAATCTACAACAAGTGGGAAGTATGAGCATGAGGGGGAAGGAGGTTCTAGTTAGAGGAGGTAGACAAGGCTCACGGCATAGCCAGGAAGGGGAGTAGGGGCTGAAACCTTTGTTCATCTTGGGTACCTCCTGTCGACTTAAAAAAATTGCACAACATGAGAGTTGCAAGTTACGTTTTATCTGGGGGCAAAATGCAGATTGTAGCCTGGGAAACAGCACCTCAGATAGCTCTGAGAAACTGTTCCACAGAGGTGGCAGGGGGGGAGGACAGTATATATGTGATTTTGGTAAAGGGGGAGTAATCAAGCAAATATTTTTTGTGGAAGTCTCTGCTAGTCTTGTGAAACTTCTGTTAATCAGCATTAAGGATTTTAGTTTTAGTAGAATATCTTTCTGAAGACCTGTTTTTCCCCGAGCATAGAGTACCTCATTTCTGCTTTCCACCCTGAACTCCTGCAGGGATGTTGAAGGTCAGTGCTGCAGCAGCACATGCTTTAATCCTTACAGAGTTAGATAGGTAGATGGCAAGTGCCAATTCCTAGTTGACACTCCTCCTCTGGGAAGCGTTCCTTGGTCTTTGCTCAACCCAGGTTGGGATAGGTGACCTTCCAATCACATTTCATGGCACTGACCACAATGCGCAGGGAACATGGCTTTATTTTCCTGATCCATCTGAACTTCCCGGTAGGTGAGGAAAACGCCTTATTCGTCTTCGTAGCCCAGGAGGTCTGGTACAGAATGCTCAGTTAATGTTTCTTTGAGTGCAGGATCAAATGAATGAGACAAAGACAGAATGAATGAACAGAGGACAAGAGTTGTTATTGTTAGATCGCTCAGGCGTGTCCAACTCTTCCGTACATCATGAACTGCAGAATGCCAGGCTTCCCTGTCCTTCACTATCTACTGGAGTTTGCTCAAACTCATGTTCATGGGGTCAGTGATGTCATCCAACCGTCTCATCCTATGCCACCCCCTTCCTCTCCTGCCTTCAATCTTTCCCAGCATCAGGGTCTCTTTCAATGTGCAGGCTCTTCTTGTAAGACAAGAGGGTAGACTGTAAACTCTCCAGGGCAGGCACCACCACTACCTTGTGGTACTGTGATCCCCAGTGCCCAGCACAATGTCTGGCAGACTCAGTGACCAGGGTCAAGTCCCCTTTACCTCCTCCCAGAGCCCCAACCCGACCATTCCCCTCTTCTTCTTGGTGTTAGCAAAGACACAAGACGCTGGTCTCCGCCAGCCGCCCAAAGCACGACGGAACCTGATCGTGCCTGCTCTAGTTCCCCGTCACTACAGGTGCAGAGTCTTGTCTTGCTTTCTGAAGCGAGTCGCCCAGGACAGGGGTTCTCTTGGCCCTGTCCGTCTAGGGTACAAGGACCCGCAGCAGCCCGTATCCCAGCCTGCTCAAGCTTTTTCCATGAGGGCACCGCTGGCTCTGGGGCCCCCTCCAGAAAACAATCCCCAGGCGGCGCCACAGCCGCGTCCCGCCGGAGCGCTGGCGGGGCGGGAAGCAGGAGCGGGAGTCTGCGGGTTTCCGCGCACCCTTCCTCCTCCTCCCGCGTCCTGGCTCTGGCGCTCTCCTTGTAGCCTCGCACGTTGCAAACTTTCAGAGCTTTCCTCACTTGCGTCACGGAAAAGGCAAGAGGGTGACAGAGCCCGGGAGGCGAGGCGGCGGCTGGAGAGCTCCCCCGCGCGGCGCTTGAGCCCCTCGGGGCGAGAGGTGTCTCCCTGCGAGCGCGGACAGGCTGAGGGGGTGCGGCTGCCCTAGGGGCTGGCCCCGGAGGCTGCCTCTCGTCCGCGATTGATCGTCTCCTTGCTCTCGCATCCCGATCTCCCCGGGAGTGAGAGAAGGCGCCCGCCACAAGAGAAAAGAGAGGAGTAGGCGGGAGCCGAGCTGCTGCGTCCCAGGCCAGCGGGAGGGCGGAGCCGGGCCGTCCCTGGCCAGCCAGGACGCACGGAAGTGCCGCGGAGTTTGTCCAATTCCCCAGCCTGCTTTTCCTTTTCCCTCCCTCGCCGGCTATTCCCTCCTTCCTCGGGACGCCACCTCCCGGAATCGCCTTTTTTTCTGTTGTTTTGGATCTGGCTTCTCGCTGGAGGCGCCGAGGAGCCGCGAACGCTAGAGAAGAACGCGGGCTCGGGGCGCAGCCCGCCGCCCACCGGCGGGATCCCGCAGGGCAGAGCAGAGGACGGACGGACAGACGGCTGGACAGACGGCCGGCCGCACCATCACCTTTCCGAGCTCACTCTCCAAACTCCTGTTGAGTGTGTGCGTGCACGCAAGGGGTGAGGGGTCTACGTCCGGCGCGCTGGGGCCGGTTTCCAAGGGGATTACCTTTGGACGGGGGTCCTTGGACTCAGATCAGGGTCATCTTCAGGCTCAGAAACTGCTGAGGAATTAGCAAACAAAAGAGGCCACTCAGCTAGTGGCCAGGAGTCGCCTGAGCGCCTCGTCGCGTCCCCTCCTTTCCCCCGGGTGGGGGCTGGCCGCTTGGGGGCGGGGAGAGGGCACCCGAGCCGGCTGGGGGCTGGGGGCCGGGCCGGGCCGGGCCGCCGGGTCGCAGAGTTGGCCGGCCTGTTGTGTAAGCCTCAGTCCTTGTTTTCCCGGCCTGGCTTGTTGTGAAGCCGGACACATCCACCCCTGGATTCGACTCAGGAGGCTGCCGCTTTTCTCCTTGCCCCTCTTGGATTTTCTGGATTTTTGAAAACCCAGTGGCCCAGGAAGAGGAGGAGGAAGGAGGAAGGAGATCTGCAGAGGAATGTGAGAGCCTCCAGAGGCCCAGGCTGGAGGAGCCAGAAGGAGCTGGGAGCCAGAGCTGCTGGAGTTTCTGGGACGGTGGTTTCCGAGTGATTCTCTTCTATTTTAGAACATTGTTTCAGCGGAGAGTGTCCAATTTTGCCTGCTCAGGGCTGGTTTTCTCCTAGTCACTTGACTTTTCTTCTAGGAGTGGGAGGAGGAGAGACTCTCCCGTGCAGGGACTGCGGAAGGAAGGGAGGAAGACCAGGGACATGAGCCCTCCCCGCTCACAGGCATGTGCCGGCAGACCTGGTAGGGCCGATTCTGGGCCGTGGACATTGCTTTGAAGAGAGGGAGGCTGGATACCTTCTGTGGGTGCTCAGACCCCGCAGTAAGGACTGAGACTGAGGGCTGTGGCCGGCCTTGAGCTGCTCGTGCATCCTCAGACACCCTAACAAGTGTCCTCAGTTCTGGACAGGACTCTCTCCTCATCGTTCTCTACCACCGGCCCAGACATGGCACTCAAAGGGCGAGCCCTCTATGACTTCCGCAGCGAGAACAAGGAGGAGATCAGCATCTGGCAGGACGAGGACCTGGTCATCTTCAGCGAGACCTCGCTGGATGGCTGGCTGCAGGGCCAGAACAGCCGTGGGGAGACCGGGCTCTTCCCTGCCTCTTATGTGGAGATCCTCCGTTCTGACACTGGCTCCAACCATGCCGACTACTCCGGCAGCCCCGCAGGCTCTCTGGGCACCCAGGTGAGCTTGTATGACAGCTCCAACACTTCCAGGAGTGGTGGCTTCCTGTCAAACCAGGGTAGTTTAGAGGAGGATGATGACGATGACTGGGATGACTGGGATGATGGATGCACGGTGGTGGAGGAGCCACGGGCTGGTGGGCTGGGCACCAACGGGCACCCTCCGCTCAACCTCTCCTACCCTGGTGCCTATCCCAGCCAACACATGGCCTTCCGGCCCAAGCCGCTGCTGGAGCGGCAGGACAGCCTGGCATCTGCCAAGCGAGGCAGCGTGGTGGGGCGCAACCTCAACCGCTTCTCCTGCTTCGTGCGCTCTGGTGTGGAGGCCTTCATCCTGGGCGATGTGCCCATGATGGCCAAGATCGCTGAGACATACTCCATTGAAATGGGCCCTCGTGGCCCCCAGTGGAAGGCCAACCCCCACCCATTTTCCTGCTCCGTGGAGGACCCCACCAAACAGACCAAATTCAAGGGCATCAAAAGCTACATCTCCTACAAGCTCACACCCACTCACGCCAGCTCACCTGTCTACCGGCGCTACAAACACTTCGACTGGCTCTACAACCGCTTGTTGCACAAATTCACTGTCATTTCAGTGCCTCACCTCCCGGAGAAGCAGGCCACAGGTCGCTTTGAGGAGGACTTCATTGAGAAGCGGAAGCGGCGGCTTATCCTCTGGATGGACCACATGACCAGCCACCCTGTGCTGTCCCAGTATGAGGGTTTCCAGCATTTCCTCAGCTGCCTGGATGACAAGCAGTGGAAGATGGGCAAACGCCGGGCCGAGAAGGACGAGATGGTGGGCGCCAGCTTCCTGCTCACCTTTCAGATCCCCACGGAGCACCAGGACCTGCAGGACGTGGAGGACCGCGTAGACACCTTCAAAGCTTTCAGCAAGAAAATGGACGACAGCGTCCTGCAGCTCAGCACAGTGGCCTCAGAGCTGGTGCGCAAGCATGTGGGGGGCTTCCGCAAGGAATTCCAGAAGCTGGGCAATGCCTTCCAGGCCATCAGCCACGCCTTCCAGATGGACCCCCCCTTCAGCTCTGAGGCCCTCAACAGCGCCATTTCTCACACGGGCCGAACCTATGAAATGGTTGGTGAGATGTTCGCTGAGCAGCCCAAGAATGACCTCTTCCGGATGCTCGATACACTGTCTCTCTACCAGGGCCTGCTCTCCAACTTCCCTGACATCATCCACCTGCAGAAAGGTAAGGGCCAGTGTGGGTTGGAGACCCTGACAGCGTCTGTGCTCTGCAGGGCACAGGGGCTGTGAAGATGGCCTAGATGGGGCAGAGTGGCTCAGCTAGTCTTTCAGTCCCTGTCTCATTCGTTCATTCAGCAAGGGTGTTGAGCACCTAGCAGATGACAGGTGCTATTCTAGGTACAGGATATTTATGGGCAGGTCTTGTCCCTGTCCTCATGGAGTTCACTGTTTACCTTCTTGTCTGTTCATTCATTCACTCACTCATTCATTCATTCATTCATTCATTTTCTCTGTTTCTGTCTCATTTACTCACTATATAGCGAGTCCTCCAAGTTATTAGGTTGGGTTCTGGGAACACGGAGCTGACCAGGGCCCAGGCCTTGCCCTTGAGGAGCCCACAGGCTTATGGGGGACATGGACACAGACCCAGATAACGAGAGCACAGAGCGTAGCCTATCTTCCCGCTTGTCACCAGCTCACCTCCCTGCCTTTGCAAGTTCAGAGACTGTTCTCATGGCTGCACATCCTATCTGTGAGCTTCCTCCCTATCTGTGTTCAGGAGGGGAGGCTGTCCCCATTTTGCAGACGAAGGAGCTGTGTCCACAGAAGGGTGGCTTGCACAAGGAGTCCGTGGCCTCGCTGGGACTGTCCCTTCCTTTTGCACCTCCCCAAGGACACATGGTTTTTGGCCACCTCCCAAGCTCAGCCGTGTGTTCAGTTCTCACGGTCTCCTCCCTAGGGGAGGGACAGGATGGGTCCCTGTTACTGCGGGGCTCTCAAGGAACTGCCAGGGAAGTGACTCATAGCCGGGTCACCGAGGGGCACCTGGACTGGGCTGAAGGAGAAACCGGGGGTCCAGGGCACTACCCACATGGTCCATCCGATTCCCTCTTCCTGATCCTGGCTTCTCTTCTTGCCTGAGCCCCTGAGTCAGGAGCTGACCCGGCAGGTGGCTGAGCCTTGCGGACTACAGGCAGGGCAGGAGGGAGGTGTGGTCCTCCCCAGGGCTGCTTGGTAACTCAGGAAGAACGTCTGCAGGGCGTGGGGCTGGCTCCCAGGCCCCTGAGCCCTGAGGTCAGGCCTGGCTTGGTGGAGAGTTTTCCTCTGGGCGGGGTCAGGAAGCCGGCTCTGCACTGAGCCTGGGGAACAGCAAACATCACCGCCCTACCTTGGTCGCTGGTAGCAAACCAGCCTTGTTCTCCTTTTGTTGTTGTTGTTCAGTCACTAAGTTGTGTCCGATTCTTTGCAACCCTGTGGACTGCAGCACGCTGGGCTTGCCTGTCCTTCTCTGTCTCCCAGAGTTTGCTCAGACTCATGTCCATTGAGTCAGTGATGCCATCCAACCATCTTTAGGAGGTTAACTTCTAAACCTTCTCCAGCTTCTAGACTCTTTTCTCCCCTTACTGTCTGTCTCTTCCTCCTTCTCCTGCTTTTTTTTTTTTTCTTCTCCACGTTCCTTTCTTCCTCCTTCTCTTCTTTCAGCTTCAGGAGACATGACCTGAGTTCTGGTCTTGGCTCTGCCCCCAATTTGCTGTGTGTCCCTGGGCAGTGCCTTCCCCTCTCTGGGCATTAGTTCCTCAATCTGTAACATAGAGTGGACACTGTGAGCTCTCAGGCCTTCAAGGGAGTGGGGTTGGGGAGAGTCCTGGGAAGGGTCTGGTCAAGGACAGAGTGATGCCTTAGTTTCGGCTCTGAGTTCTGGGCAGGGACAGGGCAGGGGTGGTGGCTGGGGCCAGCTGGCCCACTGGGGCAGGTGTCGCCTTGTGCGGAAGTAGAGCCACGCTCACTGCTGCACTACGGCCTGGGAAAGCTGGTTCAACCAGCTCCTTGGGTGGCGTGTTCCTGTGTGGGCAGCAAGAGAAAGGTGAGCAGGGGCACAGTGATGAAACAGCTGCTCCCATGCGTGTCTGGGGACCCTCCACCCAGGGCAGAGCTGGGGGCGGGAAGGCAACCCTGTACTCCGGGCTCCCAGGCTCCCATTAGAGCAGGAGGGAGTAAAGGCAGTCTGGCCTTTCTGACCCTGGATCGGGGGGACAGAGCTGAGAGAGGCCACTTCTGAGTTTCCACTGGAGGCTAAGATGAGGGGCCAGTGGTCCTCTGGGGGTGATGTATTCAACCTCAGACAGAGGCCGCACCCACCTTCCCTTACCCAGAGGATGCCTCCCCATTCGGCCAAGGGCTTTGGGGCTTACTCTTCCACTTTCTAGGCTCTGTACCACCACTCCCAGCCCTGTGTATGGCAGGTACTACAGTGGTTAGGGAGTGGGGCTTGAATCTGGCTGAGACAGACTCGGGCAGGCTTTGGAGAACTACAGCCTGCTGCGGGGAGAAGAGGTCCCATGGTGGCCCTGTGGATAGAGACCTTTCACAGAGGGAGGAGCAGGAAAGTTGGGGCCTGGGTGCCCAGGATGCTGTCAGCCTGTTCATACACTCTAAAACATGGTGAGCATGTGGGAGAGGCTTTGCAAGGAAGGAGACAGGAGGCCTGGTAGGGTTTAGGAGACCAGAATTTGGACAAATGTTGTCTTTGAGGTGACCCTGATTGAATTTCCTCCCCTGAGAAAGCTTAGGAAAATGGATCATGGAACCCATTTGGTGCAGAGTTGAAGCCCACCAGCCTGGTCTGCCCACCAGCCTGGTCCCTGGAGCTCAGTTCAGGGGTTTCTCCTAAAGGGAGAAGGGTAACCATGTGATTTATCATCCAAACCAGGGCAATCTTGTGAGGGGAAAAGAGAGTCTTGATAATAGTTAACCTGGGACAGCAAGGGGAAACAGTGACTGTTCAGGGCCCCTGCCTGAGAGCCAGCCAGGGCAGGACTCTGTCCTAGGACTCGTCACAAACCACGGAGGTCAGTGTGGGTCCATGTGTTCTAGATGAGGGGCAGTGAGGGGGGCTGATCATCAGAGCAGGGATTGGAACCCCAGTGTCTCTAACTATACAGCCAGGCTGTTGCCGCTGTGCCAGACAGATGGGACAGGGAGGTCCCTGAGGGGTGGTGCCTGGGGAAGACGAGCCAGAAGGGGAAGGACCAGGGAAGGAGTTGGGTACTCTCTCACCAACTCAGCTGGCATCCTCTGTCGACTAGAGGCAGGCCCTGGACCACACAGCATGCATGGAGGGGTCATGGTGCTCACAGGTTGGCCAAGGCAAAGTGGCCCTTGCAGGACCAAGTTCTACCCTGGGGGAATAGGTGGGTTTAGTCTCTGTGCTCTGGGCCATCACCTAACTCTCCTTCTGCCTCTCCTCCTAGGCTCCCATGAACAAAGAATCATATGGCCCTAAGCCACCACCAGCTGGGTGGTGTGACTGAAGAGCAGTTTGCACCTAGCTACACATAGCATCTGGAGCTCTTATCTTGTCAGGCTCTATCCCAAGTGCTTTAAACGTATTAGTTCAATTAAACCTCTGCTCTTAACTAGAAGGCGAGTACCATCATAATCCCATTTTACTGATGTGGAAACTCTAAAGTGCTATATTGCCCTAAGCAGCTGTCAGCAGCATCATATGTAGTCCAACCTGTCCCGTGTGACAGTGGGGAGACCTGCAGTCCTTGTTGGAGGTGACACAGTGGATTAGGACCCAGACCTCCTGCCCTCAACCTAGGGTAGGGACAAGATGGATTCAGGTGGGACTTTAGGGAACATGCCTGAGACCCTGGGGATCTGAAACTCCAACCTTCCCGTCCCTATTTCTGGGATCCGGTCTACAGGACAACTGCCAGGGCAGGAGGTGCCTAGGATCCTCAGCTCTCAGGGTGAGTCCTAGGTGGAATGTGGTGGTGTGAGGGGGGACTGGCCCAGGCCCTGACTCCCAGTTTGTCTCTGGGGTGCGTTAGTGTTAGCTGGTACCAGTCCCACATCTGAGTCACAGGGTGGAGGGTGACAGAGAGCAGGGTGGGACCTCCTCTGGCCCCCATAGCCTTTGCCCCCCATCCCTGGCTCCCTGCCTGTCTGTGGATACCTAGCAATTGCAATAGATTCATTCCTATTATCTGGGCCTCAGTTTCCTTCCTTTAGAGCCATGGGTTTGTGCTTAGTCGCTCAGTTATGTCTGACACTTTGTGACCCCATGGACTTTGTAACCCACCAGACTCCTGTCCATAGGATTCTCCAGGCAAGAATACTGGAGTGGGTAACCATTCCCTTCTCCAGGGGATCGTCTCAACCCAGGGATCAAACCTAGGTCTCCCGAGTTGCAGGTGCATTCTTTACCATTTGAGCTACCAGGGAAGCCCAAGGCCATGGGCTGTTTAAGGGCTTAAATAGCTTCTCAAATGCAGGTCCACCGCCACCGCACCCAGACTTTCTCAGGAAGGTGGAATCCAGGCTGGTATGTTTCCTTTGCTGAAGCCTAACTCTAGTTTCTTTGTCCAGCTATTTTCTACCTTTCTTCTTCTGGTTCTTTCTACCCCTTGGGACCTTCTCAAATTCCCGAGTCCATTGTCTGGATGTCTCACGTATGTGCCTGGAGGACCTGACCTGGGCTCCCTGCACTAGAAGTGGTATCCACTCCCCGCTCTGCAAGGCTCCCTCGGGGCCAGATATCCCGCACTTTGTGGGCAGGAAGGAGGCTGGGAGCCCCTGGACAAGTCCTTTCTCACCAGGGCCTGAGTTTCCTCTGAAGAATACTGGCATGGTGGTGGAGGTGAAGGTGGCCGTGGGGGTGGGGGCTGGACAGCTGTCCTCTAAGGCCGCTCCAGCTCTGAGGCCTCTCATGGGGGTCTCATCTTGGTCCCAGGGTCAATCCCTCTCCTTCTGCCCAGGTCTGGGCGATCAACCTGGGGAAGGGACCCAATTTGGAAGAATCTGAATGAATCAATAAGGATGAAACAAGAGGCAAGAAGAGGTGGTTCAAGGAAGGTGCTGCAAGGACTGAGTGGGCTGGGAGCTGGACACTGCGGAGTTCTTTTGGGTGCTGTGTGAGCAGTCCTGGAAGTGTTGTTAATGTGAGTCGGGCTGCCCGAAATGGCGCTATTTGCTGATTAGCCACACACTTGCCGCCTTCCGTGGGTAGTGCTCCTTCTAAAGGCAGAGTTATTTCCAGCACATAATAAATGCACAGTAAATGTGTCCTGAATGCATTGAACAACTTGAGAGTAAACAGACTGTGTTTCAAAGGTCCCTGAGAGGCCCCCTTAAGGAGGAGGTGGGAAGCATGTAAAACAAGCCTGTCACTCATGTGCAGTGGGTGCTTTTGAAGCGCTCCAGGAGCATGCTGTCCTCTGTGCCAAGCCTGCCCACCTTCATACTCTCCTTCACATGGTGTATTCCCTATAGCCCTGAGAGGAGTGCCTTGCTAGGCACAGGCAGACTGCCTCCCCAGCTCAGCAACTGCCCACTGGCTTCAGCGCAGCATCAGCCAAGTGCCCAATAATTCAGAACTGAAATCGTTTCATCAGCTGCTTGTTGATTCACTCAGGTTCTTCCAAATTGGGTCCCTTCTGCAGGTTCATCCCCTGACTCACCATCTGTCACCTGGTTATGACATTGGCCTCCTCTAGTCCCCTGGGGACTGGGGTGAGGAGGGAGCAGAGCTTATATGTAAGACACACACAAAGGAAAACTCCAGGTGGCCTTTCAGCCTCTGTTTTAGAATCAGTAGTGTGATGGGGGCAGGGAGAAGGATGCTCCATGTGGGAGTGGCACCTGATCAGAGCCTTGAATTATATATAAGGATTCAGGAGGCAGAGATAGGGAGGTAGGAGAGAAAGGGTGAGTTTGATGAATATGGGGTCAGTGCGGAACAGGTGCAGGGGTCAACTCCCAGAGGGCTTCCCAGGCCAGGAGAACGGGGGACCTTGCTCTGCAGGCCAGAAGGAAGCCAGAGGAGACCTGGAGCTATGGGTGCCAGCTTGGCTGCTGGTCAGGTGCCATAGAGAACCTCTCAGAGGTTCGGACTGAAGTGGGGAGACCCGTGGGGGGCCTGTTGTAGCAGTCCAGTGAGATCAGTTTAGCAGACACGTGTCAGAATCTGCGTGGGCTAGGCTTTGTTCTAGGTGCTAGAGACATTGAGCTCATACCTGGAGAGATGCAGTCAGAAAAACCACAGAGAGGGAAGAGCTGTGGTAGAGGGAAGCCCAGGACACCTGAGAGCGTGGAGATGCACTGATGCACTGGGACCACCCAGAAGGCTTCCTGGAGAAGGTGCTATCTGAGCTGAATGGGGAACCAGTGTGAGGGGTGATGAGGCCTCTGGTGGATGGGGACAGCCTGGTCGCAGAAGTCAGTACAGCTCGCAGGGTTGTGACCGGTCAGGTGTGCGCTGCTGGTGGTGCCTCAGGTTTGGAGGGAAGAGGGTACATCTGGTTTAGGACATGCTGATGGTGAGGGTTCGGGGGACATCCTGGTGGAGACATCAAGTGGCTGCACCATGGGTCTGGAGTCCAGGAGGGGGGCCCGAGTTGAGCCGGTGAGGGTGCTGTCTGCCCTTGAAGGGTCTCAGGGCAGGGTTAGGGAGCGAATGGGAGCAACCGGAGCCCTAACCGCCCTTGTCCTCCGCTCTGCCCGTGCCAGGCGCCTTCGCCAAGGTGAAGGAGAGCCAGCGCATGAGTGACGAGGGCCGCATGGCGCAGGAGGAGGCTGACGGCATCCGCCGGCGCTGCCGCGTGGTGGGCTTTGCCCTGCAGGCCGAGATGAACCACTTCCACCAGCGCCGCGAGCTCGACTTCAAGCACATGATGCAGAACTACCTGCGCCAGCAGATCCTGTTCTACCAGCGGGTCGGCCAGCAGCTGGAGAAGACGCTGCGCATGTATGACAGCCTCTGACCGTGTGGCCCCGCCCCCGGGGCCTTCCCATGCCAGCAGTGCCTGGAGGGCGGGGAGTTGGGGGTGGCCTTTGGAGGAGTCATGAATATCCCTGGGAAAGTCCCCCACCCCTTAGAGTTGGGGGCACAGCGGGGATGAGAACAGGGCCAGGAGCCCTCCAGGCCCAGGCCTGGGCTGCTGGTCAGTCACTTGAGGCCAGGCTGGGGTCTTAGCTTCCCCTGGAGCCTTTAGCGCATGCCCACCTGGCCACTTCCCCCTCATTTGTTCGGTAGACACGCGGGCCTGCTGTGGCCCCAGGTCAGACACTGGGCATCCAGGGCTGCGACACGCCTGCTCTTGTCCCCAGTTGAAGTGGGGGGTCAGACACAGAAGCAGGCGGGGGCAATACAGTATGATCGATGGTAAGGAAGGGGCTTCTGGAAGCTCGTGGAAGGGACCACTCGTTCTGCCGGTCAGGGATGACTCCATGGAGCAGGTGACGTGGGAGCAGTGTGTCTTGAAAGATGACAAGAACCTGCCAGACAGTAAGTGGGGACAGTGGACGGGGAAGGCATTCAGAGAAGAACAGCCTGGACAAAGCTGTGGAGGCATAGAAACACCTCTTCTCCTCTCCTTTATCTTTTCCCAGCAAGTTTGGTGCCCCCTTGGTGTGTCCCCTTGTGTGACAGAGGGTGGGGATCTGCCTGGCTCCCATGCCCCTGTCCCTGCCCTGCTCCCCGCCACCCCGCAGCAGGGGCTGCAGGCCAGCTCCCTCCTGACTCCCCCTTCACCAGCTGAGCCCCCTCACTCCCTGGCTAGGGACCACGCAGCATCTTTGCCCTGAGCTCAAGGTGCTGTGACAAGCCACAGACCGCAGGATTTTGGTGGTACCTGCCTGGAGGGCACACCCACAAGTTACTGGGTATTTGAGTTCACCAGCTGTAGCTCTCACACTCCGGGCAGGCTTGGATCTCCGGCTCCCAGGGGCCAGCTTACTCATCGCCCCAGGGATCCTGGGCCCACCTGCCCATCACCAGGCTCACTGTGATGCCATCCAGGTCCTGGTGGGATTGTGCTGTCTCCCACTCATGTTTACATCCTCAAGGGAGCTCTTCCCACACCCCCAGGCCGGGGTATGGTCAGAAACTGACAGACGCCACTGCTGGCCCTCCCGGGAGGTCATGGCTATTTCTGGCTGCTGCTGCTTCAATCTTCATTCTTTCTTGTTTTCTTGATAAACCTTTTCCAATTACGATAACAAAAGTATGACTCCTTATTTGGATCCCAGGGGGGATGAGGGTGGAGGGAAGGATGGAGCTCTAGTTGTCCCTGGGAGCAGCTGGACCAGATTCTGAGGTGGTGATGGGCACAGCATTCACCCCAGAACCTCAAAAGTTGGTGGGGAGAGGGCAGTGCAGGTGGTTGGGGCTAGCTGGAGACCTCTGGGTGGCCATGGACCCCAGCTCAACGCAGACCCTTCCTAGACCTCACTCTCCTCTTTTCTCAAATAGGTGGAGTCCTGCCAGGGGTTTGGCTGTGCTGCTCTGTGATCCAGGACTGAGGGTCACATGAGGAAGGGACAGTCTAGTCGACAGGGGCTTCATCTCCCCAGGAGGCCATATCCCAGCCTTGCCCCCAGGAAAGCCCAGTCCAGGAGAGGGGGTGGGACTCAGACCCTGTGTCCTTCCCAGGGGCCGTCCAGTCCAGGGTGCCCAGCCCTGAGTGGCTTCCTGGTTGGAAACTGAGGTGGACCCCCCAGCTGTGCCCTTGGGCGTGTCCTAGGCAGGGTGGACAAGAATCTGTTTGCACACGGGAAAGAGGAGGGCTGGGAGGTCAAGGTCCTCTTGGGGGCAGTGGGGACTGGGTGGAGGGAGGGCTGCTGGGGTCCGGGCATCAGGGGAGGCTTTAGCTGGGCTGGGGGCTGCGGGAGCTCACGGCAGTGAGATGGAATAAGGGGCAGCAGGTACAGCAGGGTAGAGGCAGTAAAGGCTCCCAGATCCAGCAGAGCGTCCTCAGAGGAACTTCTGGAATGGGCCCCTGGCCCTGGGTCAAAATTAGGTCAGATTTGGGACTTTCTGTGGAATTTTCCCCTCTCCTCCCTGCCCTCCTTCTTCCATTTTCCAAACCATCCGAGGACCTTCCCACCCTTAACCTCTTCTCAGCTTCAACCTCTAGGCAGCCTTCTGCAGTAAGGAGAGGTGGGGGTGAGGGGGTGGTCTTCCCAGGGCTCATCTGTGTTGAGTGATGGGAATGCTGTTAACACCAGTGCCTGGAGAGTCCCCTGTTCATGCTTCCTGCCCTGGTAATAGCGTCACCTCTTGTGTCTCTCGAGAGGAGGGACCACCTCCCACACCTTCTGTCCTCAGGGTGAGGGGATCTGGTCTGACATGTTTCTCAGGAGGGGCTGCACCTAGGAAAAGTATCGAGATGTGAGGTAAGGGAAGGGAAGGACAGGCCAAGCCTCTGAGGTCTCTAGGCTGGGACAGACATCTGTGTAGTGGAAGCGGGGATGTCACAGCCCTTCTCTCAGTTTGGGTCGGGGTGCTGGGGAATTTGAGATTGATCTGGGCTAGCCAGCCTCTTTCAGCAAGGGCTGGGGGACCAGTGTGCATGGGGACCAGTCTGGTGGTGGCTGGGCCTGCTGGCCGGCTTCAGTCACACGCCAGGCAGATGTTCCAGACTGAGCTGGGCCCAGCTGCCTCCAGTTTCCTCCCTTGGGAAGAGGGTGGAAAACAAGGCCTCTCTTTCTGCCCTGGGCAGCTACCAGGACCTGGAGGTGGGGGGCAGGGGACCCCGAGCCCCAGTCTTGGCCCAGCCTGGGGAAGGAGTCTGCTTTGTGGCCTCATATGGCAGTTGGGGAATGGGGATGGCTCTGTGATCCCGCATCCTGTTGCCTCCTGGGCACAGGAGGGCCATGGACCACAGGGCCACTGCTGGGCCACGGCTGTAGCAGAGCCAGGTCTGGTCACAGACACGGTTGCCCAACCCGAAGCAGATAGAGCCACCCAACCTGCCCACGGGCACACAGGTCACACCTGGCTCCACACACACACACACACACACATATGCATGGTCACATGCTGACACACCTGCACTCCCAGCCACAGTGCCACACAGTCACACCTTCCCAGCCACGTCCACACTTGCCCACACCTACATGCATGTTGTCTGTCTCAGCCACTTTGTCACTCTAGCCCCACCATAGTCCTGTGCACACAGGACTCACCCAGTGGTACACACACTCAAGACATGCATGGCCACAAAGTCACACATGCACATAGCGAAGGTGTCATACACATAGATGCTCATAGACTCGGCCTGCATCACCTCCTGGGGGAACCAGTCTGGATCCTTCATTATCTGACACCATCAAGTTCAATTCCTCATTGCACAGGTGGGAAACCTGGCTATATCACCCAGCAGGGATGGGGTATGCTCTGGGGTCAGAGACCAGTTCCCAGTAGGCTCTGTGGCCTGGCCTTGGCCACTTCTGGGCGGTCCCTGGGGCCAGGCTGCCTCTGAAGGCCCCTGGCTGAACCCACTCAACAAAGCTCCAGGCATCTCGCATCTAAGAGCCAGGATGTGGTGGGCAAGTCCCAGGCCTGGGCGGGAGGAACATTCCTGCACCATCTCCTCCCCAAGCCTGCAAGGACTGGGCCCGCCCTGCCTGCCCGCCTGCTGACTCAGGCCTCCAGGAGCCAAGCCGGCTTGGCTCCCTCACCCACCCCAACCCACCCCAACCTGCTTCCCCACCACTGCGGCTCTGATCCCTCTCTCTGCTGCTTGGGGCAAGAAGAGATGGTGAGGCCTTGGCAAAAAGACCATGAGGAAGCATAAAAATTCACCTCCCCCAGATATAGCTCAGAAGGGCTGATTGTGAAACCCCGCTCCAGGCTTTGGCAAAGCTTTTTTCCTTTGGTTTTGTTTGGTTAGTCAAACCCCGATGCAGTCTAGTCTGTTTAAAAAGCAGTGTCTCACACAGTTGCGTCCTCCTTGGTCCACATGGCAGCCCTGGTAGGCAGTTATGCCATTTCACAGACAAAGACTGAGGCTTGGCCCGAGGGAGGATGCGACCTGGCTAGGATCACACAGTGGGTCAGGGGTGGGGTTAGACTTGAACCCAGCTCTCTGGCCTCACTCCCTAAAGTCACCTTGATTAACTCCAGAGGGGTTGGCAGATCTTAGCTCCAGAGGTGTGAAAGAATGGGAGGCTGGCAAACTAACTGCTGAAATGTGCAGGGACTTTGAGGGTGGGGTGACTCCCACCAGCCCCCCAGGGATGAAGAGGCTGAGGGCGGCATTGCACAGTGAGGTCTGCAGTGACTCAGGGTCTCCATTTACAAATGAACATGTGCGAGGAACATCACTTCATTTTTCTGTAATGACCTGAATTTCCCTTTTGCTTTCTCATTAACCCACCCAATAGAAAAGTAATCTGAAATCAATCTTGGGACCCTCCTTTCCTCAGGGAGGCATGTAAGTTTTGGGGTGGCACATTTGAAGACCCTAGGCAGACCTCTGGCACTTTGAATTTTAGATGCTGAATCCCTGATCCTATCACTCATATGAAATTTTGCCTGCATTCCTCATTAAAGGTCATTCATATATAGCTACTTGAGTTGGGTTCAGTTTATTACTTGACAATGTCTTGTTGTGTAGATATTTAATTAAATTTTATTCATTTTGATTTTGTCTTTATTTTCTTTTGCTTTTTGGTGTTTTGCTCCTTTTTGTCCACCTGGCTACAAACATTGCTGTGGGTCCTGCGGAGCCCCTGGTCCCTGGCACTGGGACTGTGCGCCCTCCATGGTCCTAGGTTAGCACTGGACCTTTGGCTCATCTTCCCCAGTCTTCTGCCTTCCCACCACCTGCTCCTTTGATCCCATCCTCAAGCCTCCGTGGGTCTGGCCCTTTTTCAGTTTGGGGCACTCCAGGTTCCCTCAATTGTCCCTGAGCCTTGTGGGCCTCAGGGAACCTCAGAGTGAAAGTGAAAGTGAAGTGGCTCAGTCGTGTCCGGCTCTTTGCGACCCTGTGGACTGTAGCCTGCCAGGCTCCTCTGTCCATGGGATTCTCCAGGCAAGAATACTGGAGTGGGTTGCCATTTCCTTCTCCAGGGGATCTTCCCAACCCAGGGATCGAACCTGGGTCTCCCGCATTGCAGGCAGATGCTTTATCCTCTGAGCCACCAGGGAAGCCACCAGGGAACCTCAAGGGGCTGGCAAAATCATTCCACAGCCTCCATCACACATTCAAGCATCAGGTGCTCTGGAGAGCTGTTTAGAGACCCTGTGCAACCCTTTGTCTTCTGAGGTCTGGTTCTGCCTGGGAAAGGCATTCAAGTCCCCACTGTGCCTGGATCTCCCAGCATCTGGCGCATCTACCACCCCTGGGACAAGTGGTACCATGGTGGACAACGGATGGCCAGTGTTTCACAACCACCCAATATGCAAGAGATAATCAACATCATTTCACAGACTGGGAAATAGGGCCCAGTGAGGGAGGTGCAGTGTAGCAGACTGGTGTGAGTGGTACCCAGGGTCTGGGCTACATCTGGTGGGGAGGCAAATGGCTGATGCCTGAGGTAGGAGCTGGGGGCTGGCTGGCGCCTGGAGGTACCTGAGGCCTCTTCTGGGCTGACTTAGTCCCTTGGCTGCCATTGGAAGGAGTGCTCTGGGTGAGGGTATCTTGAGGCTCCGGCACACAGCACTGCTGCCCCCCAGACACAAAGCCCCTTTCCCTTCACCACTCAGAGGCAGGATCTGCGTGGCTGAGCCTGAGTGCAAATCCACTCTACACCTGCTTGTCTTCGGGATGTTACTCAACGTTGCCATGCTTCCGCTTCTCCATTTATAACAGGAATTCCAGATGGCTGTGGGAGGGTCTATGTGCCAAACACGTCAGCAGGACAGTGCCTGCACATAGCCAAGGGCCCAGTAAGGAGCAGCTGGGATTACCAGCCTCCGAGCAGCCCTAGAGACAGGCGGGACCAGGAATACCATTACCCCACTACATGAGTGAGAAAACTGATTGGACGAGCCCTCTAAGGCCACCCAGTGGGTGGATGTCAGGGCTGGGCCTGAGTGCACAACAGCGGCCACTGAATGGCTGCCATGTGCTGCTCTGTGCTGGGCACTGGCCTCAGTACCCCCGTAAACTGTCTCCTTGCTCACCATGGTCTGGAAGGTGAGAACTACTTCTGGACCTCTCCAGCAGACGGAGACTCAGAGGCAGAGTCACCTGCGTGAGATGGTGCAGCTGCTTGG